ATCCCAAGAGCTCGGGCGGCCATGCGCACAAGGAGCGCGATCATGGCTACAAGGAGGTCAGTCCCTCGCGCAAGAAGTTCAAGCTGAAGCCAGACCTCAAGCTTAAGTGTGGCGCCTGCGGCCAGGTGGGGCACATGCGCACCAACAAGGCCTGTCCGCTGTATACGGGCATGCAGAGCAGCCTCTCCCAGTCGAACCCCTCGCTGGCCGACGACCTGGACGAGCAGAGCGAGCGGGAAACCAACATGGACGATGACGATCTGGTGAATGTGGACGGCACTAAGGTGACGCTAAGCAGCAAGGTGCTGCGGCGTCATGGCGAGGAGAACAAGCGGCGCAGCGGCATGGGCCTGAGCCTCAAGATGTCACGCGATGGCAAGAAGAAGCGACGCCTGGGCAATGACCTCCACTGCGACTACCTGCAGCGGCACAACAAGACCGCCAATCGACGGCGCACCGACCCTGTGGTGGTGCTTTCCTCTATACTGGAACTGATCCTCAACGAGCTACGCACGATGCCGGATGTGTCGCCGTTTTTGTTTCCCGTGAACTCGAAGAAAGTGCCGGACTACTACCAGGTCGTCACGAAGCCCATGGATCTGCAGACAATGCGGGAGTACATCAGGCAGCGTCGCTACACCAGTCGCCAGATGTTCCTCGAGGATCTCAAGCAGATTGTTGACAATTCGGCCCTGTATAATGGCGCCCATAGCGCCTACACCGTGGCCGCTCAGCGCATGTTCGAGAGCTGCTACGGGCTGTTCCAGCAGCGCGAGGAGAAGCTGATGCGCGTGGAGAAGGCCATCAATCCGCTGTTGGGCGATGACGATCAGGTGGCCCTGTCGTATATCTTTGAAAAGCTGCACGCTCAGGTGAAGCTCCTGAACGAAGCTTGGCCCTTCCTGAAGCCCGTCAACAAGAAGAATGTGAGGGACTACTACCAAGTGATCAAGCGACCCATGGATCTGGAATGCATGCAAAAGATCATCGATGGTAAGTCGAAGATCCCTTCCCTTCGGCTGCAAGCGGACTGAAGCATCGCTCTTTCTTTGCAGGACATGGCTATCACAGTCGGGAGGAGTACATGGCAGACATAGAGCTGATGCACGCCAACTCTTTGCAGTACAATGGACCTGAACATCGCTTCACCAGGAACTCCACTACCATACGGGCGTACGCACGAACCCAGCTGGAAGAGGTATCCCCACAATACATCCACGATGTATCCATTAAATTTCTAAGGCAATCTGTCGTTTAGTTGGCGGCCACTTGCATCCCGCTCGAGGAGAACATTGCCAAGACCCGAGAGCTGGCCATGGAGAATGCACCCGAACTGGATGAGGCCTGGGGCAATGATGATTACGATTTGCCGCGAGGCAGTCGGGGCAGTTCGCCCGGCGATGAGTATATCGATGTGGAGGGAAATGTGGGCGCCACCACAGCTGCCTCCATACACCGCAGCATGGGCTCCGATGGCCACATGTCGCATCATGCGACGCCAGCCCGAAAGGCGCCACGTCCGGCCGTGGGCGAGGTGAAACGTGGTCGGGGCAGGCCACGCAAGAGGCACAATACCATCGAGGAGGGTGAGTCCAACCCTGCTACGATTTATTTATGGAATTATCTCTCTGTCTCAGTATTTCTGCATACAAAACACACATACAAGTATCTACATTTACTCTTATATTACATATCTCTCTATCTCTGGTCTACTGTGAAACTCTATTGGTAATGATCTCTCACGCTTTCCTCTGCCCCATCAATATGAATATACTCTACAAATATACTTACACAACAAAGTGTATCCCCAGTATACCCGATACCGATACCCTCAACCCCGACTATGGTTATGGTCGCCCCACAGAGACGTGATCTGTTGAGCCTGCTTATACTAATACTCGAAATCATTGCCACTCCATTAGGAGTACCATATATTGGTATTCTTCTACTTGTATTTTGTATCAGATGTATTCAGGTAGTTTGTAGATATCATTATCATCCCAGCAATGCATGAATCTTCGCCATAAACTAAATAACACTTCAAAACAAAGTATATTTATAGGAACTTCGAATGTATTTGGAATACGTTAAGAAGAACTATTAATTTCCTTCAAAGATTATAGAACGTAACGACATTTAACTTGAAAAGTGCCTTGGCACGTGTTACAAGAGCTGTTAAGCTGTTTTGTGCAAGAGATGTGTTCTATAGTCTATGGTGCCACTCGCTTAATCGTTGGCTTTCCATTCAACGCCTCAGAGAAAGGCAGAAAAAAAGAGACCGACCCGACCCGACCCTCCCGCACTTCTTGCTTTTTATTTCCTTTTTGTTGTGAGAGCTCTTTCCTCTTCTAAGCGTATTACATGTATTGTGTGCCTCCTCTTAATAAATACTGTTGCCACACACATGCCACATGCCACAAAACTGCAAACAATACTTTTACTGTACTTTTTTTTAGTCAAAGCCCAGAATCCGGTTAAGCGTGGTCGGGGTCGTCCGAGGAAGGGTAGCCTAACATCAAACAAGAGTCAGGCGCAAGCTTACTTCCTGGATGAAGGTAAGCCTCAAACTACAGACTAACGGATTACAGACACACCTCACGCACACAAAAATATTTTTTGTTATTAATTTTTTATTAATTTACACATGAATTCAAAATTGATTTGCCAAAACACAGGACTAACATCTAACACAAAGCTTTTCATCTCTCTCTCTCTTAATTTTTGGATAATTTTTCGGCTTGCCTTTTAATTTTAGTTTCATATGCATTTGGTTGACTAATCCTTGAGCCTTGAGTTCCTTCCTTAAAATCGTGCATGATATATCCAGAGCTACAAAATCGAAATTACTTTTCATTTAACATGAGATTTCTTTTATGGTCGAGAACGCTAGAGATTTATATCCTTGCAAAGAGAAACTTGACGATAATCGAGCGATACCGATAATCAATAAAGCCGGGTCCGTACTTCTGTTTCTGTACAAATATATCACATGAACAAATTGATCAGTTCCTTTTTTTGCTATATAAAATACGTATAAAAATCTGCTTTAGGCAAAATCGATTTATATAGATCGATTGGGATCGATAATCCACATTTGTTTTCTCTGCAAGGATATTATCTATAGATTCGTTATCCCTCGAAGATGTCGTTCTTTCTAGTTCCCATTTCATTGATTTATTCGCTAACTTTTTGCTCACTCTCCCTCAGACCTGAATTTCTCCACCGACGAGGAGGATGACGAGGAAGAGGACTTCCAGGAGGTGTCCGAGGATGAGAACAATGCAGCCAACATACTGGACCAGGGCGAACGTATACAGGCCCCGGCAGATGGCATGGACTACATCGATCCGAAGAACATTAAGACGGAGATCGACATCGAGGAGCAGCAGCTGGCAGGTGGGTGGAGAGCCAGTCGAGCGCTGGTCGAATCTGTCTTTGTTTCTGTCTCTGTTTCAAGTTGATGATTGATAACTAATCGAAAAACTTCATTCGAACTTTGACTTTGTCTGGATTCTGTTTCTGTTTCCCGTCTCCGTTTTACATTCCTATCCGTCCACTTGCCCATCCGCCGCACCTGGGCGCAGAGGAGCCGTGCGGCGAGGATGACAGCCAGCAGGCGGCTGAAGCAATGGTGCAGTTGAGTGGCCTTGGGTTCTACGCTCAACAGCAGCAAGGTCTCTATTACCCCCAAACCACATACATATAAATGTTGTCCTGTCCCCTCGATGTCTTCCTTAAGCTCCGCTTGATCTTTACCCCCATTTTGTGTGTCCAGCAATTTATCGCATTTTTGTATGTCTTCCAGATGAGTCCATGGATGTGGATCCCAACTACGATCCCTCCGATTTCCTGGCTATGCACAAGCCGCGCCAGAATCTGGGAGAGCCCACCACCGCCCGGGGCGCCTTCTCGGACTTCATGGCCAACGTCCAGGACGACAATGGGCAGTACAATCCACCGGAGGCCAGCACAAGTGCCGCTGCCGCCGCCGCTTCCGCTGCAGGCGCACACGAAGATGAGTCTGGGGCCCTTCAAATGCCACCGGCCAGCACGCTCAACAACGGCATGGGCATTGAGGAAGATCTGGACGTGTCGGACAGTGACGAGGAGGACGATGGTCGAAGGCGCATCAAGCACGAAGTGTTTGACGACACCGAAACTGATGTGCACCAGTCGCAGGCCTCGCATCACTCCCATCACTCGCAGCCCTACCATGTGGACGCCTCAAACGAGCCCGTGATCGACTACCAGCAGCAGCAGCCAATGGGCTTCACGAGTTCCCAACAAGCAATGGGTTTTTCGGGGGCCCAGCAGGCGATGAACTTTGCGGGCGCTCAGCAACCAATGGACTTTACGGGCGCTCAGCAGCAAATGGACTTTGCGGGCTCCCAGCAGCAACAGCAGCAGATGGAATATCCGGTTGTACAGCAGCCAATGGATTTTGCAACCGCCCAGCAACCCATGGACTATCCTGCTGCCCAACAGCCAATGGACTTTCCAGTCCCCCAGCCGGGACTAGAGCATCAGCCACAGCCACAACAGCAACTAGTGCAGGGGGATAATGATTATGCCTGGACATTCTAGGGATGCAAAGGAGACCCCTAGAAAGGGGGCGCGAATAAGAGAAATATTTTTATTTTCATCCATTTGCGGAACAGAAAATGATCTTTAAACGGCTTAAAATTGTTTAAAATCGGTATGCCTTGTAAGGCCTTGGAAATTTAATCCGATAATCATTTCGTGTTCTATTGAACTTTAATTTTTTTGCAATATTATGAGTGGTGTATGGGGTGTTGCCAGGCCCTGACCGTTTGTTCTCTTTGTTTTTGTAATACGTGTTTGTTGATTAAGCTGAATTTTGTAAACCATATAATATACATTTAAGAAGAACGAACACCCAGAGATGAGTCTCTTGTTTCTGGGAGAGTAATTGTATAAATAGAAAATAAAAAAGTGATTCAACTCCGAGCTTTTGCAAGCGGAAGCTGCATTACAGATCATTTAATAGGTAAATTTTAAACTTTATTCTTAGATTAACTTGCATTTTCACAGTCGTCAGCGTCGTATCCTAACGTCGTAATGGAGGCACAATCATACCACCCATTGCTGCCATTCCACCACCCCACAAGCCCTGACCCATATTGCTTTTTGAGTGTTGTTTTTGTTTGAGGTGCGCGTAAATAAGTGGGTGTGTGTGTGGTGTGTGTGTTCTCTATGGCTTGCGAGTATGCCAATGCCTTACAAGAGCTTCAGGTGCCCGGTGACACGATCGATATCGACTGCCGCAGCTGGGCCCACGGCCAGCACGGTCTTGGAGTTGGGCTCGATCTGGGTGCGACCGGCGTCGCGTATAAGGCACGTGTTCAGCTGCTGCCGTTCGGCGGCGTTCTTGATGGCCACCAGCTCTGCCTCGCTCTCCACGCGCACGGCGATTTTGGCACAGCCGCAGTTCTCCCAGGCGCGCAACAGACGCGGAATCCGCGTCACCGCCTTCTGATAGGCGCCCACCGCTCCATGGCCACATTGGGCGGCAATCTTGCCCTTGCCCATCTTCAGGTCGTTCCGCACGACCAGAACCATTTTGAAGTTCTCGTTGAAGCCACCATAGTTCTGCAAACACACCGATAATTAGCCCCCGCCTGGAAGAATTGTGGAAGAGTGGAATTGGGTCAGTAGGCTCACCTTGTCGGTTACGGCAGCCTCCTTCGTGGTCGTGCTACCGGTCGCAGCCTCTGCTCCTTCGTCCGACGCCTTGGACTCGCCGCGCTTGATGGCGTAGCGGTAGCCGACGAAAAATGATATCATCACAGCCATTCCATTGATGATTTGTGCAGTGTCCAGCAGTTTATCACCCATTTCGCTTTGTATCTCAGGCAGGCTTCTATTATTTCGCAAAAAAAGGCAAGCTGTGGCGCTCACCTCACGTTTTCAAATCTTAGAGATGGACAATGTTTGTGCAACTATCGATAAGATTTACGTATATTCATTATTGAAAATTGTAAAGCTACAAATCCGAGAAAACTCATTTACATGATGCATTGGAAACTAGCAATTGTCTTTGTATTGCCTGACCTATACTAGCAACACCATGCTTCCTAGACTACAATCGCTTTTCTGAAAAAATTTAAATTTTTACATTATATTGAACATAAAATAAAACAAACCAAAAAGACGTCTGAGGCACACCAATATCCCAGTCTTAATATTATTTAGAATATGTAAGCTATTTCACTACATTTGGGTACCCACTGTGCTGTTAGAGGTGTGATGAAAACATCGATATTTCCACCGATGATACTATCGATGTTTGTCCAGGCTCTACTTCATACGTGTCTGTATTTTTCTGTTCTGTCTTCGTCGACGTAGCATTTTTAAAACCCGATCGAATTCGCATTTAGCTAGGTTAATTTAAGGAAATATACCCCACAAATCACACAGCCGCAACCATGGGCGTAGCAAGCATGCTGCAAATCGATGAAATGCTGGGCGATTTCAACAGAATGAACAAGCGTCAGGTGAGAGGAGCGCCGCCGCCTTGTTCGGCGTTGAATGTGGCATTTGTTAATAAATGATGTGTCTTTGTTTGGCTGCTTGCAGTCCCTGTATCAGGTGCTGAGCTTCGCCATGATCGTCTCGTCGGCCCTGATGATCTGGAAGGGCCTGATGGTGGTCACCGGCAGCGAATCGCCCATCGTGGTGGTGCTCAGTGGCAGCATGGAGCCGGCATTTCACCGCGGCGACCTGCTCTTCCTCACCAACTACAAGGAGGATCCAGTGCGCGTCGGCGAGATCGTTGTGTTCAAGGTGGAGGGCAGAGACATTCCGATAGTGCATCGCGTGATCAAGCTGCATGAGAAGTAGGTCTCACCGGGCTGCTGCAACTTTTACTGATTCCCCGATTATTGATATTGCAGGGAGGACGGCAGCGTCAAGTTCCTGACCAAGGGCGACAACAACAACGTGGACGACCGAGGCCTGTACGCGCCCAACCAGCTCTGGCTGACCAAAAAGGATATTGTGGGTAGAGCCAGGGGCTTCCTGCCCTACGTGGGCATCATCACCATCTTCATGAACGAGTATCCGAAGGTTAAAGTGAGTGATTTTCCCAACTAACCCTCCGTCAAGTCTTCCCTTGCTGATCCGCTCTCGTGTTCCCTCTTTACAGTGGGCCATTCTCTCGATACTGGCAATATTCGTTCTACTGCATCGAGAGTAGAGCGGCGGCGGCACGTTTATTTATAGGTACAATATATAAGTAGGATCTGCGCCCAGAATGTGCACAATCTCGAGCCTGTTTTCGCATTTTTTCATTTGATCAATCCCGCAACGATTCTTTCCTGTCCACGGCCCCTCAACAAGTCGCCACAAAAACGAAACAAAACAAGTTGTCCGGACTCCGAAGTGTCCGGAGCTGAATTTCAATAAACAAAATATAACAATTTTTAATCATGTTTGTTATAACAATCTATTTTTTAGCCTCGAAGCTGAGCAGTTCCTGCTTGAGCTTGCCGCCCCAGTAGTACTTGGAGTCCCCGTTCTTGGACACAATGCGGTGGCAGGGTATGAGAATGGCCACCTGGTTCCGGCCCACTGCACTGGCCAGCGAGCGCACGACCTCGGGGCGACCCATCTGCGTCGCCAGCTGCAAGTATGTGTACGTCTGACCACTCTTCACCTCCAGCAGAGCGGACCAAACAGCCGTCTCGAATTGTGTCCCAATGATAGCAACGTCGATCAAACATTCCGCGTCCTTGCCAGCCGAGAAAAGCTTGTAGGCCCACTTCTGGATGGTGGCACTGTCCTGCTCCATCTTCGCACCGTGCGAGCGACTTATCGCCTCGTCGAGAGTGTATTGGTCGTTCTCCATCACGAAATACAGTAGACAAATGGCGTCTTGAGCTTCGCTCTGAATATCGTCCAAGGAAACCACTCCCATTAGCATGCGGCCAAACGTGGTGTCGACGAAGCCATAGCGGATCAGGCGCGGTCTCCTTGTCATCATTGTCAAGCGGATCTTTAAATTCTCGGAAAACCACATTTTTATTGTGAAATTTTCAAAATTTTATAAAAGGCCGGCTTGGCAGCTGTGTGACCGCGGATTTGTCGTTAAAATACCGTCCGACCCTCAGAAATATATCATCTCACTTTTAAAATATACCGTAAATATACTGACGAATTCAAGTTCTTTTATACATATTCCTCGTTTTTAATATTCCGTCGAATATTACTAGCTAGATAGAACACTCAGCCGTGTCCACATAATTTAATACGATTAATGAATCAATTTTCTAATTGACTGGCTTATTTTAAACACTTGCTTTTATTGGATTTCTATTCCCTTTCTTTATCTTTCAAAATTAAATTTAATAGATAGATGTAATTGATAAAATATACCATTGTATATCGATATACCGTAAATGTCAATCTTTTTGTACGATATGTGCGATACTTTGACAATTCCAACTTTAGAGCGCGCGACTTGAATCATATCACATTAATCTATTATTCCTAAAAAATGAATGGAATATTTGAAATGTTTAAACAAAAATCTCAAACCATTTTCATGTGCTCAGTGAATGGAACTTATTGTCATTTGATGACTCATATTCAATATAGCCCAAATAGGTTTAACCAGAAAAATATTTACCATATTCCTTTGCTGCCAACGCTTTCTATAGCAATCTATAATGTGGCCTTAAAATCGTATCTATCATCCATATGCAAAACTACTTTGGTCAAAAGGTATTTGATGAATTTCCTTTGCCGCGAAAATTACTCATGATATCAAAAAGCGACAAATCCCTACACAAATTTTAATTTCCATAACATGTGATGTATAGAACTCTGTTTTTGTGGAATTAATCCCTAGAAAAGGTCTGTCATAATGATAGATTTGCATAAAATATGTTGACCATGGGACTATGCAATTAATCAAGATATAGTCCACGTTTTCCTGCAGAGTTCCCCCATTGGATGTACTGATAATACAACGCCATATATATATTTATATTTAGTTCTCGGAAGCTACATGGATCTCCATCATAATGATAATATCTATGCCATCATATTGTATCAACAATTTTCAATCGGTTTTCGTTTATTGTTTCTTTAAATATATAGATGTTGTACAATTATAATTATATTACAATTAGGACTAGATTAAATATACAGACAGTACATCAAGATTGTGTCATACCGATTGGACTCTAGAAAAAAACGAATTACTCTGCATCTTAAAACTTAGCTAATAATACTACTCGTACGGAAATGTGGGGTATACATTGGGGATTGGATTCTACTAAGCTGTAAAATTATTTAGTTACTCTATTCTGATTCTATTCTTGTTTCCTTTTGATTTTGATTAATGTATTTTGTCAATTGCTCTGCGTGCTTTCAAGTTTCAGTTTTGTTTTTATAAATTAAGTATACGTTTTTGTTAACCCTGAGTCAATGTTTAGTGCTTCAGCTGCGGCAATGCGAAACTAGTTTAAGTATTTACAGCCCCTAGATGATACATATGGCACCTCGATTTCACAAGTTGCTAGCAATGTTTGATTACCGATTTGCTTATTATTAATATTATTATTTTGAATTTTTATGAAATTTGCTACTAGTATGACATAATATTTATTTAATTATTGTATTCTCTTATTTTATTTTATTTCATTTCTTTTTTTTTTGCATTTTCTATTAATTTATCACAACGAAATGCGTCAACATTTTGCCGACAACAACAACAACAATAACAGCGATAACAATTAAAACAAAGATCTGATCTGAGCAAAATCCTGAAAACGTGTTCAACTCTGCTTGGCGGATGCTGTTGTTACCGTTATGGCTGCTGCAGGCAGTTCGTTACTGCTTAATTCACTGCTTTGCGGCTTCAATTGCAGCTCTGCTTGCTGCTGCTGCTGTTGCTGTTGTTGCTGCTGCTGTTGCTGCTGCTGCTGCGGTGGCTTCTCTGTGATTACGGGTATGGATGTGTGCTGGGTGAGCATATCCGCCGGAATGAGGCCTTCCTTGACGCGCTTCTTTTGCTTCATGCGCCGATTTTGGAACCAGATCTTAACCTACAAGAAAAAGAAGAGAAGGAGATATTAGTCTTACGAAATTTGAGTCGCATAAGGATTGAGTGGACAGAGCTGCACGCTCCTTTAGGAAGTACTTTGGAAAAAAAACCCAAAGAGGTTGGAATTTACAGCTACAGAGAGATGGTGGAGCATTTTTAAGCCATAAATAATAATAAATAAATGGTTTCTCACCTGCGTTTCATTCAGTTGCAATGTATTTGCTATTTCGATGCGCCGGGCCCGTGTCAGATACCGATTGAAGTGGAACTCCTTCTCCAGCTCCGTCAGTTGTTTGTTGGTGAAGTTCGTCCTGCCGGAGTTGTTGGTGTTGTTGGACAGGCTGCAGCTGCTGAGGCCACTACCGCCCGGCCCATTGCCCATACCCACGCCGATGCTCACGCCCATGCCATTCGGGGCATTGCCCGCGGATGCATTGTTCGCAGAGAGCATCAGGGAATTCTGCACGGACAGGACGCTTCCGAGGCCAGAGCCGTTGCCACCAACTCCGGGACCATTGGCCACGCTGCCACTCCCACCAGCTGCACCACCACCAACACTGCGGCACATCTCGAGCTGCTGTCCATTCATCTGGTAGTCGTGGTGCATGTTTGCAATGCTGTTGGCAGGTAGTTTTGGTGCTGCAAAGAGAGAGAAAGAGAAAAGACAGAACATAAGATATGGTTTCTGTTGTGGTTTGGAGGAGGAGAACGATCCCCTCGGTGTTGATCTCTAGCTGTCGCAGCTAATCATTGTGAGAGTTTAGGACCCCATACTCGTAGGATATTCACCCTCCCTCCTGGGTTGACTTTTTGCCTTGTTTGCGTGATTTTGCATTTTATTCATAATTTGACATGCGCCCCGTGGCTAAAGCCGACGATCATGAAACCGATTCCCTCTGCCCTCCCATAGAAGGATTTCATGCGCTCAATAGGTTTTGTTTGGAAAATATTGGGATTATCCTGACAGCGGGACTCGGACCATAGTTTTGACTCTGGTTTTTGTGGGTGGTTCAGGAATTATGATATTTGTGGGCACGTCTAGGATTTGGTCATGATCTTCTGCCCAAGGTTTGTTGTGGTTTCTTTTGGTTGGATTGTCCCGAAATGTCTTCGAAGACGTGCTGAGTGCGGATAATTGAATTCATTACAATTTGTGGGGTATGTTTTTAGGTCTCTACTACAAAATCTGTAATTTTCTAAATGCTGTGGAGTTTCAAAAACGTTCTTTAATCTGTTAATAAGTTGGAAGTTATTTGGTGAGATGTTAAGATCATAAACACTGCTTAAATGCTTAAATGTTTTTTCGGGGAATGAAGTAAAGATCTTCTTGGAAAATATGATTTTCTGTTGACACTCCCCCCTTACAAGGCATCCCAAGAGGCTCATAAAAAACCTTTTCACACAATCATAAATCTCAATGAAAGTTTCATTCAGCATAAATCAATTAATAAGTGTTTCATTTTGGAGCTGCTAAATGATATTGATTAACCTTCCTGAAAGTTGAAAGAAAGCCGTCGTCTAGTCGTATTAATTTTACCCGAATCCATTTAATTTTTGAATTGGTGCTACCAATTTTTAGGCAATTGGTCTTTCGTACAGCCATAAATCAAACCCCAACGACACACAATAAATAAGGTTTTCAATCCACAAATGAATGATGAATTTATGACACTTAACTGCTGCTGCCACTGCTTCTCGTTTTGCTCCTCTTGGTGAGTGCTCTCCTACTCATGCTCCTACTCCCACTCCCAATATTAATTTTGGCATCCGCAGATGGAATCCGCACACAGTAGCCGGTTGCGCACCTTTCGAGGATTTGTGGCCTGTTTGCCAGGGGGATTGGATCGATAAGTGGCCGCCGAATTGAAGTCGCTCCTCGGCTCCTATCGTAATGCACACAGGAATGTCTAAGAAAACAAGCCCAAGGATTACGGCGGTGAGTGGCTTGGGCTACATTTGAATTTTCCAGCAAACAGACAAACAAACCCGAGCGGCGGCGGCGGCGGCGGCAGTTGCAGCAGTTGCAGTGGCAGTGACAGTAGTGGCAGTGGCAGTTGGATATTACGAGTACTACACTGCATTCCGGTTATCAATATGGATGGCAGCTCCGGCTGCCGCCAATCAATGCACAGTGGAACGAATAGGGGAGAACCTTTGTGAAGAATGAAGGAACCCCACCAAAGGTCGAAGGATGTGAAAAATAAATATAAATGAATGTGGAATCGATTTAAGCCTTCAATCCTTTACTTTTCTTGTTAAAAATGTTCAAGATACAGTGTTTCCTTAGCTTGAAGACCTTCGTGGTTGACCCGCAATATGAGCCGTAACTTTCATGCCACTGTGCTGCCTATGCTGTTCGTGCCACTGCTGCTGCTGCTGCTGCCGCTGGTGTCGCTCGGGTTGTCAAACATGTCGCGGCCAGTTGGCGGCACTGTCGCTTTTGTCCGGCGCCAAACGATATCTACTTTGTAATATTAGTTTTAGAGAGCATTATCGGGGGATCGCTTCCACTTCAATGCTCCGAGCGCGACGTGAGGCGAGGCGAGAGGTGTGGATGGGGCAAGGTGGGGGCCGTGGCGACACTGCTGACAGAGAGGTGGAAATGTAGGGAAAACTCAGCGACGACTAACTGTGCTTCAGCCCCTCGGACGGCCCAACCCTCCCCTGCTGAAGGCCATCTCCTCTTGGCTGGGCGGAAAGAGGTGGTGTCACATTGGCGCTTAAGCTTAAGAGTGACACTGTTGACAATCAATGCAAACAGCAAAGAGGCGCTGCAGCACCAGAGAGAGAGGGCTGCGGGGGTGCAACAGCTAGGGGCGCCACCCAGAGTCAATGTAATTTGATAACATCTCAACTAGCGGTAATTACAATTGCAGGTTTAAGCCAGTCAGTCACTCAGTCGAACGTTTGTCTGTCTGTCTGTTGACATTTCTCGTGTGAAAAGTGTATCTGTGAATGGGGAAAAATCTAGGGAAAATACAATCAACATTGATTGTTTTCAATTGAGTCAAAGAAAGTGTTTATAATGCGGCAAATAAAGAGAGTTTTCATTGGGGAGGAATTAAAGAAAGTTCCCAAAGCAGGAATCGGTTCGAAAATATTGCAAGGGAAGAAATGGAATATAACAATTTAATGCTAATACTTTTTCCATAATCTAATGATACAATGATCCCTAATACTTTGGTATCAGCAGAAATCAGATTAACTATAAAGCAATTCCACTAACTTCAATTTTAGTTTAGTCCTCTTCTTTTTTATTATTTCTGATACACTGGTAACACATTTCAAAAATCTTCTAATACCCTGTTCTACTAAATTGCACTTGAAATAGTCCACACTTTGTCCTTGAAATCTGCGTTACCCAAACACTTCCCCGTTCACATCTGAGTCATGGGGCAACCGAGCGAACGGCCATTTTGATATGAGAGATATAATGATATTATCAGTTCTATTATGTAGGCGCCACTGCCACTTTACAGAGATCCCCCCACTCACACACAGACAACACAGCACACAGATACCAAGTGGGGCCCACTCTGTGAGCTCTGGGTAGCATTACAAGAGGTCCGTTTTGGGGCGATTAAATGGGACTGGAAAACTGGAGACCATACCAGACTGTAGACTGTAGACCGTAGACCGAAGTGCGACATGCGTTGTGTCTGGCCAAGGGCTCAATTGATAATAATATTTAATTCGAGTGCAAATAGAAAATTATATTTCAATTAAAAGTAAATTGTTTTAATTGTTGATTAAATACTCGTCCGTCCAACATCAACGTCATGTGGCAAAAAAAAAACTTTCTAGAACTACATAATTTCTTAGCAGTCCAGTCGCAACCTAATCTGTGGGGCTCCATAAAAGTGCACACCAAAAAGTGCTGACGATCGGTGGGTTTTAGTGACGATTTGATTGATCACCTGAAGGTAATTTATGGCCCCCAAACGGAAAGAACTCAGACATTGCTTTGAGTGGAACTATGGCCAATAATATTTTGCAATCAATGGAACATGCTCGTATTTTGCTTTGTTTTGCTCGGGACAGATGTTCGGATTCACTGGCCAGAGGTCAGTCCGAACTAATTGGGTTGTTTTGGGAATCTCAAACCCTTTCGAGGGTGGCTGCTAATTAAGGACAGTCAACACTCTTTGCTGGCATTTCAATGTCTGTCTGTCTATCTGTCTGTCCAGGCACGGGTCTGACTTGACTAAAATGCCATATAATCCCATCGAATCCCGTCCGTCGCTCATGGGCCGTGTCCATTCAGGCTGTCAGTTTTATTGGCTGCCTGTCAACTCGTGACTTTTTCCACATGTCATGCGATGATGCAGTCGTATCTACATTTCAAACATGAAATGCACAAAATACCCAAAATTCTTATAATTGTACAAGTATCTACATATCATCTCAAATCCCAAAAAACAAACCGAAACGAAACAAAGGAGAAGTCAAGTTTTTCCAACTTAATTGAAAGATTTTTGGTTACGGGGCATAACCAGACATCCCGCAGCTTATTAGTCACGATGTCTAACACACATGGAAATTGTTTAACAAAAGGTTTTTGAAATTATAAAAAAGTATCCAAAAAGAAACAGAAAGCTGTGTGATTCAGAGGTAACCCAGAGGTACCCTTTTGGGAAATGGTAATAAATGGCGCCTAGATCTACACATTTCTTAAGCCTGTTAACTGTCTCCCATCTTAAATGTCTCTTCTGTCTGTCTGTTCCGGAAGTAGTTATCATACATAGATCTTCTGTTTGAGTTGTTCGTGTGTCTTGTCTGTCCCTTCAATCCGTTTGTTTGCCCATGGAAAATTATGTCGTTGTTGGTCGTCAAAAAAACTGAACTCGATTTAAATATTTACACAGCCACAGTATGCACATATTTGTGTTATCTTAATAGCTATATTTTGGCTACTGTTTTTTGCTTTATTTCTTTATTTTATTTTTATTTTTTTGTAGATTACGTTGAATTCCAGTAGCAAGTCCCGAAAATCAAAATCGACAGCATTATTTGTACTACATATTTGGTTTTTTGGCGATAAGAAGTCGCCCCACATGGCGACAGAGAGAGAGGAGGAGAGAGAGAGAGCAAATTGAATTAAATTCGTTGTCTCGATACGTGATTATGATATCTTTGTGATTAGTTTTTCATGGTTATTATTTCGTGGAATAAATGATTTTCTGATTAACCAGAAGACGAACAATATCCTATTAAAATAGGTTACTGAAATGTAGTCCGCCTATGACAACAATGTCTATACGGAAGATTATCTCCAGCTGTTTTATAGATTGTCTGAATGGTCTGAAGTACCTTTCTTCCTCTCTCAAGCCGATAAGACTGACAACATTTCCGATTAACAATTATTATTTTGTTAAGTTCTAATTTCTGTTGTTGGCTGGGTAGTTATTTTTATAATTTAGGCAACCGCTTGGGTTTTTTATTATTAATAGAACTGACTAACTGCTTGAACAAATTCGGTTTCCAACGGTTGGGAGGGAGGCAGGCGAGGCAGGGAGGTGGCAGCTAGAGGGTTAGTTTTTCCATGTCTGTTTGTATCCGAGGTACAGCTGCCTGTTTGTGTTAATTCAATTCAATGGCAGCAGCAACAGCAACAGCAGCAGCAAAAAAGGAGAAGTAAA